AACTGAAGGCTTCCTTCGGGTCCACCTGATGTCTGGAATCCAACATGTGCGCTAGAATAGAGCTGTTGATGGTCCTGGTGGTATTAACTTCACCTTTCCTTAGCCATGGCGGGAGAATCTCCTTCATTCTTTTGGATAGGCGCCGACTCGTGCGACCAATATAATCTGCTCCACAGGAGCAAGTAAAGGAGTAGATGCACATGGAGGTGGTCTGAGTCCGTAACCTGTCCTTGTCTAGGCATGTCCTCTGTGGAACTGTGCCACCACGCCTACGTCCGTCACCCCTCCATTTCGCTGTTGAAGCAATCAAATTGCGTGTAAAATTTGCTAATTTAAGTAGCAGTCCAGGAAAACCGAAGCTAGTACCCATTCACTTTGTAGGAGACACCCCCAAGTTTATTTTACAAGTCTATGTACATTATTTTAGGAAAAAAGGCGGACCTAGTAAGGTGTGCATTTTCTCATCCGACTTTTCAACTTCGCACTCGGCAATAAAGTTGGCCATAGCAGCGCCGAATGATACTACGTTTAAGAAGTTCAGTAAGCAAACGTACGCTTTCACAATTAGGTCCTGGCAGTAATATAGGGGAGAGTAGAGTAGCAAAAGTTTAAACAATCAGTAAGTATGCCTGAGAGCGCCGCGAGCGTTCAGTCCCATCAGCTGCTGAGGGGTAGGGAATAAGGCGTTGGGTGATCAGCTATATCTCTGCTTCGTCGCTGTAACGCGACGTGGTAGGAGGAGGGACCACACCTGTTGAGTCCCTCTTGGGCTTAGGGAACCTTAGGGTCTGTGTAAAGGTTTTACGCAAACACCGCGATAGGTTGAATAATTATCTAACCACTGCCTTGGCCCTCACAAGTATCCGATGACGCAGGGAACTTGGAGTGTCTCGCCGGCTTTTTATAGATGACTTAGCGTAATTGGTTGATGCTGTTGTTAACCAAGTAAGCCAAAATTTCGCTAGAGGTGAACTTTACCCAACTTTATTAAGGCGGGATGATGTTCTCGTATCCGCTCGGATAGGCGCCTAGTATAATCTGCCCCACAGGCGTAGATGCACGTCGAAGAGTTCTGAAAGAACAGTCTTCCTTTGCCTTAAAGGCAAAGAAGTGGGGTGCTTGAGAAAAGTAGTCTTAACCGCTGGCTAGCTGAACAGCCTAGCAGCGTTTAAACGACGCTGTAAACGTTTGCTCACAGGATTACCTCGAAAGTGCATTGTCAGAAATAACTCCTTATCCGTCGGCAGGTCCGATTTTGGAGAACATTTCTCCATCTATTTACAGGCAAACTGTTCACTAATGTCGTTATTTCATTACGTGGTTTATATAGAGGGGCGAGTTCGTTCGTGCATATTCCCTTAGATCTACTGGTTAGGCAGCGAACTAGACTTCATTTCTGAGTTAGCGGGATAAAACTGTAGACATTTTTTGCATTCCCCTGTCACTTTTTTTCCCACGAGATACACTGCTAGCGTTGATTAATATCAACTTTGATGGGATTCTCATCTATCGGCAGATACATTTTTTGCTTTTCGGCCAAACAGTTTCGACGTCGAATTCTGCAGATTTGACACGCTTAAATCCTTAGCGCTATCTTACTCCCTCCTAGCCTACGGCTTCCTTGCGTTCTCTTTCATCTCTTGAATCATTACAACTACCAGTGGTTCTCCCTATGTTCTTATACTGTGGATATTGTGTTTTGCATTTTTTGTCAGGTTTAAGTGAAATGCAAACAAGCGTGTTTGAAGGCATGGTTAGGAGTTTCCTCCTGCAGACCCTTCTCTCTCCTT